AAACTTAATAGCCATGGCCTTCAATAGCGATGGCCTCCACCTTACTAACGATGGCCTCAAACCTAATAGCGATGGCCTCCAACCTAATAGCGATGGCCTCCACCTTACTAGCGATAGCCTCCACTTTACTAGCGATGGCCTCAAACCTAACAGCCATGGCCTTCAATAGCGATGGCCTCCACCTTACTAGCGATGGCCTCCAACCTAATGGCGATGGCCTCAAACCTAATAGCCATGGCCTCCACCTTACTAGCGATGGCCTCAAACCTAATGGCGATGGCCTCCAACCTAATAGCCATGGCCTCCAACCTAATAGCGATGGCCTTCACCTTACTAGCGATGGCCTCAAACCTAATAGCGATGGCCTCAAACCTAATAGCGATGGCCTCAAACCTAATAGCGATGGCCTCCACCTTACTAGCCATGGCCTCCAACCTAGTAGCCATGGCCAACCTTCTGTTTCTTGTCCAAGGTTTAGCTTGCAGGTTCCCCGGATCCGCGTTCGGCTCACGACCAATTGCTCGTCGCGAACTGAGCTCGCTCGCCGAGCATCTCGGCACCGGAGCGAGTCGTGGGACCCGAGGCCAGCACCTCCCATGGAACCTGGCTTAGCGCCCTTCAAGCCCTACGAGGCGAAGCGAAGTGCTAAGACGTCCTACTGGGTGCTGGGGCAGCAGTCGTCGCAATGCTTTAAGTCCCAACATCGAACATTCAGTAAGACAAGTTCTTTATGTTTTTTTCTGACCCGCTTCTTTAAATTCTCGGACTGCTTCAAGAACTTGGATGGTAGGAGTTCTGGGTGGACATGCCGGAAGTGTCCTGGGTTGTGTTCAATCCGTGGGCAGGTGGGCAACATGGATTTGAGGTTTGCACTTCAATAGAATTCTATGAGAATCTCTGACTTTTTTCCAGACGTTTTTTTTCGCCTTTCTTACATTATGTTTTAGTTTGATTATGATTAGTTTCTTGTTTGACCTACACTCACAGCTGCCAATGATATACATTTGTTGAGTAGTCTGCTTACTTTCGTCAGCATGTGCGACAGAGGCACACCGCCAGGTGGAACAGTGGCAGTTGCTTGGCAGCAGTGTTATCACTATTGTGACTGTTAGCTGTCGCCCTTATCACGAAAGCTAGCCCCAGCTAGCTGGAGTTGTGCTTGCTGTAGCAAGTGAGGGGCTGGAATCCTCGAGAGCGCCGAATCGCATGAAAACTTCATATGTTCGGAACCCCCCCCGGGTTCAACTCCTCTCTGGATGTCTCTGGGACGTGTGTATTTCCAGGTGGCATAGTGGGCCGACTGTCACCCGCTTCACCCCCGCCCTACTAGCTTTCGTCGCCAACCCTCGGCCTCAAGTTGTGGTAAGGATCTCTTGCAGGGGCAGGATCACACAAAAAAGACCAAGGGACTCTCATTAACTTAGCCTCAGATATTTCTGTCCACTTCCATCACGTCCCGCTAGGCACAGACACGAAAACGTGGAGCAGTCCTGGAGGCACATACCAAAGATTATGCAAATGTGAGTGACGACTTCAAGTGTTTGACCATAGGAAGGGAGCTTTCCTTGTTCCAGGTGTCGCCACAAGTAACTCTCAACGCCAAGCTGAAGGCTGCACCAATTGACGACCCCGCAGCAGGTAAGTGGAGGTTCAGAACCTGTCTTACCTTGACCAGCTCGTGACCAGTGATGTTTTCTTGCACCTTGTTTCATGTGTTGAATTGCTGTCGCAGTTGGCTCCAAGTTTGAATATGTGTACGCCGAAGAACTTTGATGATGCATGGTTTGCTTGCTTCAGTGGAAAATCTGAATCAACGATCGAAAGATATTTTTGATCGACTTGATGCGGCTTGCAGCCAAGCTGATGCCCGGATTCTAGGCCTGGAAGAACGCCTGGGTGCTGCAGTGGCACGCATCGAGGGTGCGCGGGGAAGCACTGCTGCACTCAAGGTGCAAAGTGCCCGAACGTTTAGTGGCCGTGGAAAGCCTGAACTGCATGCTTCTCGGCTTGTGATTGATGAAGGCCTTCTACTTTCTGTACGTCAGACTGCAGATCTTCCAGAAGAGCTTGGTGCTCCACTTCCTTCTGCGACCAGCTCAGCAGAGGAGCTGGCCAGGGTGTCACGGTCTGTGACGCATCACTGCAACTTGGTGACGCCAGATCCACCCTTCAAGAAGAAACGCAATGAGAGGTTGTTGCCCGTGGAGGGTCGTTTATCCTCTGTCTCTGAACTCTTCCTGTTGAACTCCTCAGAGCAGCCATACCGGGTGCGACATGAAGTTGATAACCTGGCAGAACTTGAGGATGAACTCCGAAAGCCACGAGTCTTGTCTGCCGAAGCTCCAAAGACTGCATCTCCAGAGGTCGGGGTGGATCTCGAAGAAGATGAGCCTGAGAGGGCCATGGAAGATTTACGCTTCCGGCCACGCCCTGCAACGGCAGAAGTCACCTTTGATTTGCCTGATGTGTTGCCGGATTTGGGGCATGTAGCGCACATCACTTGGAGTGAGGGTGGTGAGACTGAACGCCCTGCTTGGGATGTGGCCCCTGCCGAGCTGGCTCGGCGTGCCTCCACAGCCAAGCCAAGGGAGGCGCCTGCGGCGCCGAAGGTGAAGCGACAGCCACCGCCACCACCCAAACAACCCGTGACAGTGGCACCAGCTCCAGCTGCACCATCCACTTCATCTACTTCAGCGCCAGCTGCAGTACCGACACCGGTGACTGAGAAACCAAAAGCACAGCCACCTCCAGCTCCGGTGGCAAAGGGCAAAGGCAAGGACAAGGGAAAAGGAAAGGAAGGAAAGGGCAAAGGTGGCAAAGGCCCACCACCACCTCCACCAGCTAAGAAGGCTGGCGGCACTGCTCCCCCTGCCAAGGCTCCAGCCATGAAAGCTGAAGGAGTTGGCAAGGCGGCCATGTTTGCAGATATCCGTGCCGGAGCGAAGCTTCGCAAAGTGGCACCTCCAAAGGAGCGAAGCGGAGCGGCCATTGGACGAGTCGTATGACGGACGAGAGGTGAGATGCAAACGTGAAAAAATACAGCGCATTGTGGCCGCTGTTTTGATTTGGCAAGGGTATAAGTTTAGCTCATGATGCGTCCACAGTCATTTTGTTTGAGAAGGTGCCACAGCTGGACTGTGATTTTGTGAGTGAAAGCTGCTGTGATGGAGGTCCCGTAAAAGGCAGCAGGGAACGAAACGTGCTGCGATTGTTGGAGGCCAACTCGCCTTATGGAACTTTGGTCGTTGAAGACTTCCAGGCGAGGGAAGCTGCTGACTGTGTCATTAGGCAGTGGTGCTGGTTTTCTGTGACAAGGATGAAATGCATTGAAATGCAATGAATACCTTGCATGCGAACAAACATCCAGCGCAATCCACAAACTTGCGGTGACCATGCAGGTCAACGGTGGCACCGGCATGCAACAGAAGGTTGGCGAAACACCTTTGACATATCAGTTGAAGGCCAGGGCTGCAGACAGATTATGACTGAAACGTAGCTAGTAAAACTCGAACACACCATGACACAAAATGACAAAGTCATTTGACAGACCTTGGCAAGAAAGCCTGTGCAGCCAGTGCAGCATGTATAATTAAATATAATTAAGTATATTAAGTATATATAATATATCACCATATTATCATTTGTCTATATTTGTACACACGTGTGGTGAATTGTCGTGTCAAGTTGTTTGATCTTGTGTAGTAAAGTCGTATGGATGCCGCATTTCCATGTGGGTGAGATGCAAGATGCAAGACAAGCTCTGGAGTATCGGTTCAACACCATATCACATGACACACAGGTTTATACGAAACCATTTGCGGATGAATGGCATCAAGAACAACAGTTTTATTGGGCGAACCAAGAGCAGAACCAGCACCTTTTTGACATGCTGTGGCAGTTGTGGAGTTGCTCACGTTCTTTTATACTATATTGGGAACTGGGTTTAGGTGGGTACCTGGGATTCGGGCGGCATTCGCTATGGTGTAGCTTGTTTGTAGGGATATCTAGAATCCTCACAAAACTAAACCAAGCATTCTCGTTGGGTGTCGGCCCCCCCAAAAGCTACAAACTTTGACAAACCCTGTGTTCTTGTGCCCATGCACCAAATCATCTACATCCTTGATCTACTACAGTTTTCGAACACCTACTCCTGTAAAGCGCTTCTAACAGTAAAACGGGTAACTTTCCGCAAGCCGGGGTGACTTAACACAGGCGCTTTCATGCGCGAAAGAGATTGTACGAGGTTGGCGTTCTGCTATATGTTGTTTTTGCGCATTGTCGTCCATTGAGCAGTTGCAGAGTGCTGTTGATGATGGGCATCGACTTTGCGTAGTTTTTGTGCGGTGCATTTCGCACATGCCGTGTAAGTGCACACATTGCTTGAAATGATGTGCTTGCTGAAGATGCTTCGCTGATCGTTTTGGCACTGTATCACAGGTTATACATCATGTTTTTGTATACATTTAGGAACAAGAAGCTATATACTAGGGGCTCCTGGCCTTACTACTAGGAGCAAGGACGCTACTAGGGGCTCCTGGCATCGCTACTAGTAACAAGAAGCTACTATGACCTCCAATTGTTACAGGGCCGTACGTCCATGCCTCAGCACTACGACAAAACGCTCCACTTGATTCATGCAACCGGCACACCAGCTCAACTCTAGGATTCCTTTTGCATCGCAGAGCGTGTATGCGTCCGGTTTTTGTGCGTATCATGTGCAAAAAGATGTACAGTAGGTAAAATTCCGTTACGTAATTATGCAACTTGACTTGATCGGAATCAGGTGGAAGGTGCGCTCTCAGCGCCTTGGCTGCAACATCAGCCACGCAGTGGACGTCTCAGAACAAACCCCACTGAGGTGAATAAAGGAGCTGGAAACTGCGGTCAGTGCCCTACTGCGTACCCTGCGTGGGAAGCAAACAACAGGGAAATGGGCTTCTCAGGGAGACGGCCTTGTCACGAGAGGGCCGTGCGCAACGGTCAGCTGATGTCCCATTGACATGCGAAAGTCTCCTGCGAAACCTTTTTCCGTGCGAAGTCTCCAGGGGGGCAGAGGGAGCTACTAGGAACAAAGGGCATCGCTACTAAGTGCCTTACTAGTAGTAACAATAAGAATTTAATTAGAATTGTAATTACTAGCAACATCTAGCAACATCTAATTCTTGAACGACTAGCAACATCTAGCAACCAACAACACACGGTGTGACACGGTCCAGAAGCATCGTTGGACACCCATGATTTGGAGCCGTCCGAGCCGTCCTGGTGACCAGGCTCCAACCGCTTGGAAGTTGACCTGGCGTTCTATTTCACGTGGCAGACCCAGTGACGTTTGCAAAACATGGGTGAGGTGGTAAAGATATATGTTTACGATTTTTACATGTAAATACTCAGAGCATTGGTGAGGATGGCACATAGCAAGACGCCGCGACAACCGGACACCTCCAAAAAGCCATGTGTCCTTTTTTTAACGTTTGGTCTCTGATGTACCTTTTTTCCAACCGGCCCAGGGCGTCAATGTCCACAAGGTCAACGTGAGAACCGATGAAGCAAAGAGGAGTCAATGTGCATGTTGGTGCGCCCTGACTCCATTGGCAGATTCCGGGGCAAAGACTTGGACTCGTTTGTGCTGAAGCAGACAAAGCGGCGGTTCAGCACTAGATAGCACTAGATTATAGCATTCCTGGATGAGGATATGAAGGTATATGAAGCGTAGACGCTGCTTTTTTTGCAATTCGATTGCCGTGACGAAGTCAATGGCTGGACAGCATGAGGACCCCAGTATATGCAGGCTTCATGCCGAGAACAGAAATAGCATTTGGTTAGTTTATTTATTGCTAATCCAAAACGCTGCATTTGACGGAGCTGACTTGCTTACGCATTCGGAAAAGCTGTCGCTGCCCATTAGGTTCCTGTGCAAGTACGACGATCCACTTGCCTTTCAGACCCATGCTCTTCTATCTAGGGTGATTCTACACATGTTAAATTTGACTTCCTGACTTCGAGTCACTCGTGGCCGTTGTGCAACAGGAAAGCCATGGCCTGCAGTCCTGTCAGCCCGCACTTCCTTCGGTGCACAGGTTCCTGCTGTGCAACATGATGTCCAAGTGAGAAATACGCAATGATGTGCCTGAAACCTGAAGACCAAAAGCGGTTTCGCTTAACTCACCTTCTATTGTATAACAACTAACAACCTAGCTGTGAGGCTACTCGTGGTGACACCAAACCACCTCAAACCACACGGAAAGAGAAAGCACATTTTGGTGCTGGCTGGACACGCGATCACAAGCAAAAACGGTTTAGTCGAAGCCTGGCATGGCTGGCCGCAGCCTTAGCCATGCGCATGTGTGGTCTTTCACTTTCGCAAATGTGGCTGGTTCGGTCAAGGTGATGAGGATACGCTAGCATCTCTATGGCACAAAGCAGATGCAGAGGCGGCCACAAAAGAAGATAAAGAAGTCGTACTGAATTTTGGGGGAACGTGGCTAGAAGATTGCTGAAATACCGTGCATGGATGTTTTTGTTTGTTCAGAGACTGTACTTGTCGCCCAGCCGAGCGACTGCAGCTGCGAGGTCCAAAAGCTGGTGTCAATGCGGCAAGGAGGTGTTAGCTCAGTGGAGGACTGCTCTTTGGGAACCTAAGTGTCTTAAGCAGCATGAAAGTCTACTAGAGTCACATCGTTTGAGATGACGCAAGACAAACGTACCTATATCATAAGTGATCCAGAAGCTTCATCACTGCATTGTTTGATAGACATGCTGTGAACACACTTTTTTTTGAAGGACTTCACTGTGGATCGGGTTTGCGCTTGTTTGGAGAAACTCAGGCCTGAGACGTGTGGAACAACTTGTATAAGAATGCGGTATATTTGTTTTGCACTGTGGCATGTGCTCCCTCCCTCGTGCACACCTTGAGGCAGGAAGCTAAATCTCAAAGCGGCCCTGTCAGATGCCAAGATTAGCCTTACTTTATGGATAGTCGTCAGAAAATGTCAGATATTGTCAGTGTTGTAAGACCTTCGTGATTAGCTTGTTCTGGCCGATATCCAAGGAGGAAAATGGCCCTGTCAACTTGAGGCAGTGTGCAGAGGGAAGTTGCCTGTTGGTGCCTTTCACGATCTCTTGAACATGTTGCCGTCTCTTCCCACCAGGTCTGAGATAGCAATAGAAGAGCATCGCCACCAAGTGCTGCAGGAGCCATAAATAGCAATACCCAGCTCGTCGCGAAAGGTGGCTTTGGAAGGGCTGCCTTGCTTGAGTCTATTTGGGCAGCGTCGGGGAGGAGATATTGACAATGCTGAGCATTTTGATCCACCCTCATGAGACCTTTCACCCGCAGGTGCACCAGAGCCAAGACCTCGCTTTTTGCGAGAAAAGCCCTGCAGTGTGTTTGCAAATGCTGCAGCGAGTTGGTAGCGGAGCCCAAAGTGGGCATCGGATTCGCTTCCCCACCTCGTTCCATGGCCTTCGCGCGAGCCGCTGCTGGATGGTCAGATGACCCTGGGGCTTTTGAGGACTCGCCAATCCTCGGAGACCACGGCTGACGTCTCGGCAAGATGCACTACATGAGCACGATGACGATCAGTCCGAATTCCCGGAGGATGAATCGCTCAGCTATGACATCGGCGAGTCCACCGAGTCGACATGGACATGCCGCATATGTGGTAGCGACGCTTTTCGACTTCAGCGGGGACAATGGATTTGCTTGGAGTGCGGCGAGGCTGACACGCGCCAGCGCTTCAATGCTCCTGGTCCTGGAGGATGGTACTTTGGCCACCCTTCGACCTTCCAGGCTCCACGAGCCCAACAATACGCCAACCCTGTGACGACTTCACCATGGATTACATCTTCGAATGGTCCTGGACACCAACGGCGTTCCGGAGTATCCCAACGACCCGAACCAAGAGGTCCCTCTGTACCACAGGTCTTTCCGCTGGACACCGCCTACGACATGATCCACAGCACCGTGTCCGGCATGGTCCACCACCGCCTGATGGCGATGATGAGG